TTTTTTTTGTACTTATCACTTTATACAATAATGACAAATTAAATTATTTGGGATATTAATATCATATGAAAGTAAAGCGAACCAATCAAATAATAAATATTAAGATTAATTTCTAAATTATTTTTGTAAGTAAAAAAAAGAATGATCACGTTTTTGACTGGTCAATAGAGCACACGCCATAAAATCTAAAGAAGTGATTAATCCAAGTTTTATGAAATAAAATACAAACTAAAAATAAAATTTTACTTCTTGAATTTAGAAATCAATTTAGTTTCTTAATTTCTTAATCTGATTTCGTCATTTGAAACATTGGCAAGTTTTCTATTTTCATACTCAAAACTTCTATAAGTTGGCATGTGACTGAAAATTTTAAAACAGAGTGATCTGGCCCAAATTAAGTTTAATTTGGGCCAAAAGTTTGTGAATCTTTGTTTCCGATCTGTCTAAACCGGCTGAACAACACTTCATAAATTGTACTACTTACTCCTTGAACTAGAGTTTCGAACTGATTTTATTTTTATATATTAAACCGGGTTTAACATATGAAATAAAACTATTTCCAAACTCTACCTTGAACCTTGTTCTATTTTTTTATTTGTGTGTGGGAATCTACAAGTATATGATTCAAATACTTGTAACACAACGATAAGCAAAAAAGAGCAAAGTGGAGAGGCACTGCGAAAAATCAGTTGATAATTCAAATCAAGAAAAACTCTTGCTTGTTGCTATAAACATATCGATATATACATACCCAACTAAATTTATCTTTGATACTAATTCAGTAATTAATTGATAAGGTTGTAAAACTTAGGGCATGCAAAAAATCAGTTGATATTCAAATCAGAAAAAGCCCTGTAAAAGTTTATGGTTGTGAAACTTAGAGGCACTGCAAAAAATCAGTTGATAATTCAAATCAAGAAAGCTCTTGCATAGTGCTGTAGATATATGTACATACCAACTAAATTTATCTTTGATACTAATTAATTGATAAGGTTGTGAAACTTAGGGGTGCTGTGAAAAATCAGTTGATAATTCAATCAAGAAAAACTCTTGCTTGTTGCTGTAAACTTATGTACTTGCGAAAAATCAGTTGATAATTCAAATCATGAAAAGCCACACACATGTACCAATTAGATTTATCTTCGATAAACAAAAAGAGCAAAGTTTATGGTTGTGAAACTTAAAAGCGCTGTGAAAAATCAGTTGATAATTCAAATCAAGAAAAGCTCTTGCTTGTTGCTGTAAACATATATATAGTACATACCAACTAATTGATAAGGTTGTGAAATTTAGGGGTGTAGGGGTGCTGCAAAAAATTAGCTGAACCTAGTTCAAATCAAGAAAAGCCCTGTAAAAATATGTACCAATTAGATTTATCCTTGATAAGCAAAAAGAGCAAAGATTATGGTTGTGAAACTTAGAAATGCTGCGAAAAATCAGTTGACAATTCAAATCAAGAAAAGCTCAAATCAGAAAAAGCCCTGTAAACACATGTACCAATTAGGTCTATTTTTGATAAAGAGATGCTGAAACTTAGAGGTGCTGTGAAAAATCAGTTGATAATTCAAATCAAGAAAAGCTCTTGCTTGTTGCTGTAAACATATGTGCCTGCGAAAAATCAGTTGATAATTCAAATCAAGAAAAGCCACACACATGTACCAATTAGATTTATCTTTGATAAGCAAAAAGAGCAATATTTATAGTTGTGAAACTTAGAAGAGCTGCGAAAAATCAGTTGATAATTCAAATCAAGAAAAGCTCTTGCTTGTTGCTGACATACCAACTAAATTTATTCTTGATAAGAACAAAGTTTGTAGTTGTGAAACTTAGAGCATACAAAAAATTAGTTGATACTCTAATTCAAATCAAGAAAAGCCTTATAAACCAAAAGGAGCAAGTGGAACTTAGAGGCGCTGCAAAAAATCAGTTGATACTTCAAATCAAGAAAAGCTCTTGCTTGTTGCTGTAAATATATGTACATACCAACTAAATTTATCTTTAAGTAAAACTTAGAGTGCTGCGAAAAATCAGTTGATTATTAAAAGCCCTGTAAACACATGTACCAATTAGATTTATCTTTGATAAACAAAAAGAGCAAAGTTTATAGTTGTGAAACTTGAAGACACTATGAAAAATCAGTTGATAATTCAAATCAAGAAAAGCTCTTGTTGATACAAGTATATGTACGTACTTGTGAAATATAGAGTACCGCGAAAAATCAGATGATAATTCAGATCAAGAAAAGCTCTTATTTGTTGCTGTGAAAAATCAGTTGATAATTCAAATCAAAAAAACACATATACTAATTAAATTTATCTTTGATAAGCACAGAGCAAAGTTTACAGCTGTGAAACTTGAGCACTGCGAAAAATCAGTTAATAATTTAAATCAAGAAAAGCTCTTGCTTGTTACTGTAAAATAAATGTACCAATTAAATTATTTTTGATAACCAATACTGCAGCAATAGGAGCAAAGTTTACAGTTGTGAAACTTGATAATTCAAATCAGGAAAAAAAGCAAAGTGAAAAGGTGCTACAAAAAATCAGTTGATAATTCAAATCAAGAAAAGCTCTTGCTTGTATATATATATACATATTAACTAAATTTATCTTTAATAAGAACAAAGTTTGTGGTTGTGAAACTTGGGTGCTACGAAAAACAAAGTTTGTAGTTGAAACTTAGCAGCGTTGCGAAAAATCAATTGATAATACAAATCAAGAAAAGTCCTTACTTGTTACTATAAACACATATATCAATTAAAATTTATCTTTGATAAGCAATAAGAGCAAAGTTTATGGGGTGCTTTGAAAAATCATTTGATAAATCAAATCAAAAAAAAAAAACTCTTATTGTTCTATTAGTGATTTGACTATTTAAGTTTTTACAGTACAATTTATATATAACCAGCCATTTTGACTAGCTAGTTAAACTAGCTCGTTCAACTTTGTTTGCCAAAATAAATAACTGGTTTAACACCTTTAATTACTGCAAGCAATTAGAAAAGTTTACGGTTGTGAACTTGGGTCACTCCAAAGAATCATTCAAATAAAGAAAAGTTCTTTTTTAATAATTATCACAAAGCTTTTCCAGCTTATACTGTTTCCTATATGAATCTATGCCAAAATTTGAAATTGCGTTATTTCACGGAAATACAGTAGCTTTGAAAATTTAGAGATGCACAATTTGTTATGAGCTAAAAACTCTAAGAGTTCCTTCATTTTAGAAATATTTTATTTTATTATAATTAAATAATAACCAAAATTTTAGAACCTTAATTACCGAATTAGTATAATTAAAAATCTTAATATTAACATAATTTTTAAATTTTAACATTATCATAATTTTAAAACTTAATATTATCATAATTTTTAAATCATAATCAACAATTAAATAATAAATATTAAGTGACATAATTAAAGATTTAATCTTAAGATAATT